ACCCCCCGAGGGCTCACCTGCTGGGGAAGAGGCTCCTGGGCCCCCTCAGCAGTGGCTCTGGTTGACTTTCCCGTGAATGTCACTGCCTTTTTCACTGCCTGTGAGGTATTGGGTCAACAACACTGTCAGCTCTCTCCAGCTGGGGATGTCGTGAGGAACACTGTGTGGCCCCTTACTCCAGGACGCTCCTCACCCCAGGGCAAGCTGCTCCCAGGGGACATGTCTGCTCAGTGGTTGTCATGAATGGAGGCCGGCCTGTACCGGGATCTGGTGGGTGGGGGCCAGGGGTGCTGCTCAACACCCTACAGTGCACAGGACGGTCCCACCTGGAAGAGGATCTGGCGCCACATGTCACGAGTGGACAAACTCTGTCCTAGACCTGGGGACCCCAGGGCCATCAGCTGGCAGGTGTTCAAAGCCTCATGGGGGCCTCCACTCCAGCTGGCACCTGGGGGCTCTGGCAGAGTGGGGAGACGACAGTAGGTGGATGTGGGGCCAAGGTGTCTGGGGATTCCTGAGGGGACAGGGCTTAAAGGGAACCTTCTATGCCCAGAGCCCAGGGCAAGGTGGAGCTGGGTGTGGCTGACCGACCATTGGGGGCAGGATATGGAAGGGATTCCCCTGCGAGAGGCAGGGGATTGTGCTGTTGTGTGTGAGGGTGAGTGCAGGGTCATGCAGGGCTGGAGTGTGAATGCAACTGGGTGTGAGCGTGACCATCAATGTGAGGGTGTACGGGCCGGCGTGTGTGTGCTGTGGCCTTCAGTGTGTGATGGTATGTATGTGTGTGTGAGTCAGTGTATGTACAACTGTGACTAAGTGTGTGTGTGTGTGCATGAGAGACAGTGCAGGGTGTATGTGGTTGCTGTAATCCAAAGTGTGTGACGTGTATGGGTGTGTGTGTCAGCAGGAATGTGTGTGTGGCTGCATGGAGCTTCTGTGACCGTGTGTGCTGTGCAAGGTCGGTGTGAAGGTCGTGTGACGGTGTGGGATGCTGTTCTGATGCCAAATGTATGACTGTGTGTCAGTGTGTAGGGTTATGTGTGGGGCTTCTGGGAGCCTAAGTGTGTGACAGTGTGTCTGGGTGTACTGTGTGTCAGTGAGACAGTGTGTGGACTAGGCGGTATCTGTGACTGTGTGTGATGGGTGTGGGTGTGTGTCAGTGAGGAAGCATAGGGTTATGTGTGGGGCTTCTGTGACCCTGAGTGTATGCCATGTGTGTGTGGGTCCGTGAGAGCCAGTAGGGTGGTGGGGACACTGGGTATGACAGGGTGTGACTGTGAGTGTTGCTGTCAGTGTGTAATGGTGAACATGACCATGGATGTGACTGTGTGTGCATGCGCTGCGATCACACATGGCTCCCAATGTGTCTCTCTGTACGTCTGTGTGTGGTTGTCCTGTCAACTCTCTGAGTGTAGCAGTGAGACTGCCACGTTCCGAGCAGGTGAGACTGTAACGACACTGCGACTGTGTCCGAACGGAAGTGTGCTGTTGGGGAGGGGGCGGGACCCATTCTGAGCACGGGAACCTGTGTGGGTGGGATGAGTGTGTGAGCACATGGACTGTGTGTGACCCTGCGTCTGCTTGGGTCCTTCTGGGGGTGGTGGTCTCTGAGCACTGTGAGTGTGTACACGTGTGTGGCGGTGGTGACCCTGGCCCTGTGTGGTGACCCTGGCCCTGTGTGGTGACCCTGGCCCTGTGTGTGATGTGTGTTGCTGAGAACCACAGTCTGGGGGGGGCAGCTCTGTTTGTTGCAGTTCTCTGACGGCTGGGCCGGTGCCCTGCGGTTGGGATGCTGGATCTGGGTGGGAGACCACAGGAAGGCCAAGGTCCGGGAAGGCCCAGAAAGGATGCACACACACACATGCACTCACGTGTGCGCACACACACTCCCATGCACACACACACAGAGGCAGTTGAGTTTCAGGTGTCCCTGGATTCAGCTGAACACCAGCTTCCTGGCTCTGTGTCCTGGGCTCAGCAACTTGAGGCTGGAGGCCGCCCGGGCCATCCTGGTGCCCATTCCGCTGGGGAAACTGAGGCTCACAGTGAGGACCACCTTGGCTGGTGCAGCATCTGGGGACTGCGGCCTTTCTCCATGGCCCGGCTCAGCCCAAACAATGACGAATTCACCACCCAAACCTCAGTCAGAAGCCTGTGGGGGCGGGCAGGGACCCCAGCCAGCCCAAGCAGGGAACTGCCTTCACAGCAGACCACCCACAGCTGGGCCCTGCAGCCAAACCTCGTGCTTCCAGCTCGCTGAAAGTCCTGCTTGCTAGCTGCCCTGAGTGTGTCCAGCTGCAGCCAGGGTCCTAGGGGCTAGGGAGCCTAGCGGGGGTGATCCTTCCTGGGCTCAGTTTCTGACCTGTCCTTGAGTTTTGGAATGAGGACAAGTCTTGAGCTCACGCATGGGAAGAAGAGGAGGGGGCCGGGTGGAGGGAGGGGACAGAACTAAGGAGAGGGGACCATGCCTTAGGAGACTGTGTGTGTGTGGAGGGCCCCAGTCTAGGGGATCAATCAGAAGTAGTTCATGACCTCAGGTCTCCTAGGGCGAGGGCCCCCCGCCCCCGCCCCGGGCTCACGGGGCCCTTCCCCCCCCTTCTCTGACCGTGGGACCCACCGGAACCCAACAACACCCCGTCAGTCCCGGGGCCTGTCAGGCATCAAGGTGACACCGCCGGCAAATCTAAACATCGAGCTGTGCTTTTTCCATTCTCCGTGGGGTTTCCTCGTAAAGCGCCCCTCGAGGCCCGGCCAGGGTTTTTATGGGCCCAGGACCCAGGTCCCTGGAGACGCAGCTCTGCCCAGTAGGCGCCGCCGGCGTAGCTGGCGCCCTCCCAGACCTCTCCCCACCAGGAGGTGGGCTGCCCGCGTGTATTTTTAGCTGGTGGACGGAGACAGTGGCTCCGAGTTCTTCCTGGAGGGACCCAAGGCAGGCTTGGGTCCACCTCAAGCTCAGTTTCCACGTCGGCAGAATGGCTCCACCTCCCCAGAAGCCCACATAGTGAGGAGGGGCAGAGGGATCTCCCGGAAGCGAGAAGAATGCTCCCTGCCAACACTGCCCCACTTTTCTTTTGTCCCCCTCTTTGCATCTCCTTTCCTCCCCCCACAAAGTAGATGGGATCCTCCCCTGAAGATGACACCCTATTATCCGCTTTCCTCAGTGGAGACGGTGCCGCCTCCGCAACGCGCCCTTTCAGAGATGGGCACTCCCGGGTAGCACAGAACCACAACCCTGACTCCATTTTCCCACACTTTATCTCGATGCCATTATCGCGAGAATCAGTCCTTGGCCTCGACGGCACCGCACTTGGTCAGTCTGGCGCCGGGCCGTCTCGCCGGGCCCGGTGAGGTAGGGTCACACGCAGGCGCACTCGCGCGCCGACAGCTCGTGCACCGTGTGGTAGCGGCTGTGCGCGTCCAAAAAGGACACTTCGTCCTCGTAGGCTGTCGGACGGCAGCAAGGCTGAGCGCGCACTCGCTCCCGCCGCACGCGCCTCTGCTGGCGCAGGCGCCGCAGCCCCAGGTCGTAGAAGCGCGCGGCCGCCTCGCAAGCGCCTGCGCAGTAGCGGAACAGCACGGTCTCGTCCGACGTGTAGCCCAGGCCCAGCTCGCTCACGCGCACCTCGAGCTCGCGCAGCCCGCACGGCCGCGTGCTCGAGCGTGCACGCGCGCGTCGCCGCCGAGGCCCCGCCCGACGGCGCGGACTTGGGGGCCGTCCGGCCCAGGGTGTCAGGTCGCGCAGCTCCACAGCGTCAGGGGCGCCTTGCAGCAGTGCTCGGTCTGTGAGGGTGGAGAGGAAGAACAGGACGGCGATCAGCAGGGCCTCCTTGGCCCTTGCTATCTCCCCTGCAAAAAAAAAGACCTTTGGTGGGACGCTGGTGCACCTTCTGTGAACCGCTTCTCACCTGGCCCCCCATTTTCTTCCTACGCTGCCCTGGGGTAGGTAAGGGTTGAAGGGTCACATCCCGTCTCTGGTCAGAACCAGCCTACCCTGCTGGGCTGCTCATGAGCTCTTTGGGCGGTATTGGGGGCTGCGTACCATCCCCCCCACGCTGGACCCCATAGCTGCCACCACCCCTCGCTTGACCGTGCGCCCGTGCTGGCTGCTCGGAGGCTGGCTGGGCCTTTCCGGGTGCCCAGGGCTATTTCCCATCCTGCCCTCCTTTGAGTTGGGCTGATCCAGGTTTCAGAATCCTTTACTCGGAGGCCCGCTGTCCCCTTTCCTCTGCCCGCCAGCCCTTGCACATCATTCTTTCTCTGTACCCCATCGCTGTGCGGGGCTGCCCTGGGAGCCCGCCCTGTCTTCTCTTAGCAGCTCCCAGCGCCGTACAGAGATGAAAAGGGGCTTAACAGGTAGTAGTGGCTCAAATCCCCACCCCAGCTGTCCCACCCTGGTGCTAGGCTGCCCCAGGACACTAGCACACCGTCTCCCCGCAGTGTTCAGGAGCTTCTTCCCACCTCTCACTCTTTAGCCCCTGGGCTCTCCACCGGCAGGAGGTCTCAGTTTCCCTAGCCAAAAAACCAAAGCAGGGCGTGTGGGTATCTCAGAATACACAGAGTGAGGCAGGGGTCCCCTGGCCTGGGGGGCGTCAGCAGCTACTGTCAGGTATTATTGAGTCTCTTTTGACTCGTGTGACAGAGTAGAGCTACCTCGTGGGGTTTCCTAGGGTGTATGTAATCTTTACAGGAGCAGAGTGCAAAGTCTTTCTCCCACAAAGCCATTGGGTGATTCTGAACCACCTTTTGGTTTGCAGCTGAGTGCTTAACCATTGTGCCACCAGGGCCCTGTGTTACAGTTGAAGAAACAGAGGGTCCAAGAGACTTGTGCAAGGCTACACCACCAGCAGGCAGCCAAATGGGGACCAGACAGCCCTCTTCCCCACCCATCCTGAGCCCAAGTTTGGCCCGAGGCCAGCACCTCTCTCCTGCAGTTGCTGGTAGCCCGAGTTTTTGGTTCCCAGGGCCCTGCAGCTTCAATTTATTTCCCAGGCTGCTGGCCCCAATACTCCCCCAGCCCCCAGGAAAGCAGTACAGGCAGGGACTACAGGTGGTGGAGTGGCAGGGATCACTGATTGTGGACCTGCAGGCAGGGACTCCCAGACACCAGGCAGGTGGCAGTCACGCTTGCGGTCAGGAGAGGAAATCCTAAGTGTAGCCCCCGCCAGGCCCCAAGGCAGCAGGTGCACCTGGCTGGCAAAGGCGCTAGCTTTCTAGGGGGCCCCAGGGGGAGGGGCTGTCTGCTGCCCTGGGGGCATCTGTTGCCACAGTGGGGCTCAGACGCCAAGCAGATCCAGACTCTCAGCCCTACTCAACCCTTTTCAGCCTGTGCAGCTTGAGACAGGCTGGCCCTGCTGGCTGCCTCACTCCCTGCTGCCTCAGTGAAGCTTGCATAGTCCCTACAGGGGTGTGTGTGTGGTGTGGGTGTGTGGGGGGGAGCCGGGCAGTATGCTCTGTGCTCTTTTAGCCCAGGGACGGGACTGGGGCGGCCTGGACGGTCCGCCCTCGGGGATAAGTGCCAACCTAGTTCATTTCCAGTGCTCCCAGCCCCAGTGTGTCTGGATTTACTGGTGGCATTGCCAGACAAGTACAAGATGCCCGGTTCCATTTGAGACTCAGATACACCATGAACATTTTTTTTTTCTTTTTAGTATATCTGTCCTTGCCCCCCACTTCGTCCCAAGCAGGGCTGGCCACGTGCACAGGTGGAAATGCCCCCCCCCCCATGCCTGAAATGCCACCATGACCATCAGCTTTGGGGATCAAGGGCCACTCATTCCCCAGGGCCGGGCCAAGGCAGGCAAGACCCGCCCATGGGCCGAGACCCTTCCCGACTCCTGAAACTCCATCCTTCGTGTTTTGCCCCCAGGTCTTGGAACGCTAGCTTTTGGGGGCCCCGCCCGGGTCTCTGGGCCCCAATGTCCTGGGAAGAAGTTCCCTGGCTGCAGCGGGGTGAGGCGGGGGCGGAAGTAGAACCCGCGCCGGGGGCCACCCTTGTCCATTGTGAGCACTAGAAAGAGGGATTGTGTGGGCCTGCCGGGAGGGTACGGACCGGCACACAGACTGCACGAGGCCCGCACCTGCAGGCGCCCTGCACGCGTCCAAACCCCAGCACCGCGCGGAGGTGCACGCGTGGACACGTGTGAGCGCATGCCGTCGGGGCTCGTATACCCCCCTCGCCTCACGGGGCAGGAGGCAAGACAAGGGCGAGCGGGGAGCTGGGCGGAGCCCCCGCCTGGGCCACGCCCCTCGGGGTGGGCGTTCCGGTCTGTCTCTTCCGACTCCAGTCTCTCTCTGTTCCTGCCTCCCTGTCTCTGGGTCTCCCTTCCTGTCTCTAGTTCTCTCCGTCTCCACTCTCCCTGGGTTCCTGTCCACCCTGCTGGGGCCTAGGTCCCATCCTCCCCCTCCCACCGATGCGCTGCGGGGGCCACCCAGTCCGACTGCCCAGAGCGAATGTGCACCTGGCCCCCCTGCCCCTCAAGTTCAGAGCCTAATTCCTTGTGACAGCTGAGCCGAGAGACCCCAGTTCCAGCAGCTCCCCGCTACTCCGTGCCAGGCCGTTGGGGGGATCTGCACCCTCCCTCCGTCCATCTCTAAAAAGCCTGGACGACCCGACTCCACCGCTTTAAGTTCCGTCATTAATGTTGTCACGAGCCCTCCAGTCTTGCCGACTCCTTAACCACTCTTGTAACAGAGGGGAACTGACGCTGAGGGTTTTCTAGGCTGAAATCTCTACCGGAGCAGATAGGGCTTTCTCTGGAGCCTCTGGGTGAGTTTGAACTGCCAACCCTTTGGTTCGCAGCAGAGCAATTTACCGTTTGCCACCAGGGCTCCTTTATGGTCACCCCTGGGTGGGAGAGGGAGGGGCTTACACTGGGCCAGGCGGGCGATTCGGACGTCCAGGGTGCGAGGTGGGCGGCGCAGCGGGGTCAGGGCGGGTCCCAGGCGGTGGCTGAGGAAAAGGCCATCTCGACACATCCAGACGGAGAGCACAGAGCTGCAAAGCACCGAGGCCAAGGCCGCCGCCTTCCAGCGCTGCATCCTCGGCCTGCGGGCACGGGGGCGGTCAGCCACACGCCCCTGGTCCGTCTGTCCATCCACAAACGGCCGCGGGACTCTGGGAACACAGCGGGGGTGGGGGGACGAGGGCTGTGCCTGAACAACCCCCTGCCTCACGATCAATAAAAACACGGAAACGGTTCACCAAGGAACCATGAATAAGGTTGTGAGAGAACTCCTCACAGGTGTGGGCCCTGCGAGGTGAGTGGAGGGCAGCCGCCCCTATCTGGAGTCTCCGACTGCATCCTTAAGTAGCTGACCGTGAAGCAGAGACTTGAACCAAGGGTATGAGTTGGCCAGGCCGAGGGGAGTGACATCCTGGCCGGGGGAACAGTCAGTGTAAAGTACCGGAGGCTGGAAAAGGCCCGGCATAACCCAGTAGCAGCAAGCAAGGAGGACGCTGCGAAGGGAAATGAGGGCATGACCAGCAGGGGGCACTGTGGGACAAAGGTGAGGCGGAGGCATGGCGCTTGAGACCCGTCTGGGAGGCAAGAATCTCTGTCGCGCACATATTGATGTCCTTAAGTGACTTCCTGCCCTTCTCTGAGCCCGTTTCCCCTCCAAACGGGTAAACGGCGATGGACTAAAACTGCACCCAACATCACGTCCCACCTCCAGTCCTTTCAACCCGGAAGCCCCTCTTCGCC